GTAGACTACTTGTGGCCATCCAGCCAGATCCCCCAGGGGGAAAGTGGGATTATATATAAAATTGATCCTATTAATAATCCCCATGAGTAGGGTCTATTGACTTATGACATAATATACTTGTCTATATTACACAGCTGATGTGTCACAGTAAATGTGGGGATTTTGCCAAAATAGTGACATAATTCTGCAGTTATTGACGACTCAGATGTTATGTAATCATTTCTCGCAGCTACTCCTTAAACTATTATTACATCTTGTTAGTGATGTCTCTCCCAGTTAATTTGAAGGTATTTGGCAAATTTCCCTTTCAAGAAAAGATAAATAAATTCTTTTGAAAGTTGAATGACAAAGAGCATGACAGGCCCATCCTTAAAGACAAAAAAATCAAATGACTGTTAAAATAATTACTCATGAATCATTTGGGTATTTCAAAATATAAAACGTAGATATATTGTTTGAGAGAGAGAGAGAGAGAGAGAGAGAGAGAGAGAGAAAGAGAAATGGGGTTTAATGTCCACTCAACACAAACTAGGTCATTTCGGGAATAACATATGGTTCAATTTTATTTCAATAATTTGCTTGCGCGGAGGAGTCTTTAGCAGTGGGAGGAAACCGGAGGACCCAGAGAAAACCCCCAAGGTTGGACAGGTGACCCTACTCCTTGTCACATACACCCGGGGAATCGAAACCATGCCAGTTGGCTCAATCCTTATGATACAACGCGCACACGCTAACTATTCGCCCCCCCCCTTCCTCTTGTTTCAAAGTGAAAGCCTTGGTTAAAAGCCACTTTTACAATAATGTAAATTGAAGTTCCAGAAAAAAAGAAAATTTGAAATAATTGAGATTGGAACACATTATTTAATGAAAAAATCAAAGCAAAAATTATTGTGACTTAATTTCAAATATATTTGGCCATATGGGCTTGAAAATTTAAAATTAAAATCCCCCAGAGAAACGTCCATGTAAAAATACATTCCACAGAAAAAGTAAAAAATATAATGTTTGTGAATAATTTAAACCATAAACATAATTTTTTTCTAACAAATTATTTGTTCTCTACTCAGAGATATTGACCTATGATAAGCTTTGATATACATCACATGACCTAAGAAGGAATGGAAATTATTTCATTGAAAACTGTGTGTTTCATTCACACGATCCTGAACAAGACGTTTTATATAACAATATAAATAAACGACTGCATGTTGCGCTCAACGGCTCACAAGGTACGCAGAAAGGAAAATTTTCTTTGTGTTTTTATAGCTTGTGTATTTTTTCAACACATGTTTGACGTGGCTGCATTTCTCGCCAGCTGGCGTGAGTGGTAGTCATCGGTTCTCGGTGAAAGTTGGGTGAAAGTTAGTTCAGGATAATGTAATGTTATTTATCATTACATGCTACAAGGTATACTCTACATATATATATATATATAAACAACTTCATGTCCTGCGGCTTTGACCACCCCACGCATGCAAGCTCTAAACCTCGTCATACTCACTGCACATACATTACATGTGCATGTAACAACCTTTGATAAATATACACATGAATCCGACAGATAACAAAAAAAAAAAAATATCTTTCATATTAACTTAAAATGATGAATTTGGCTTGCATCAACATCTAGATGATTTTTCTTTCTCCTTATCGCGATTTGTTTTATATCGTGACGTGACAAGTCTGCTCTTGGCTTGTATCAAATTTCTGAAAGAATATTTCTAAAAATATAAGCCTGCATTGAGTTAAACAAGTTTGTAAACTTAATAAGGATGCATTAAATAAACATGGGTTATAGTATATCAGATGATTATTGTCAAGGAGACGAACACATGACTTGTTTCTGTTAAGAACCGATTGTATTTTTTAGTCAAGTGTAAATGAAATGAAGAAGGGTTTTTTTTTTTTTTTAAATTTCCAGCTCTTTTACTCCTGGGCTTATAAAGATGAAATGGGGTTTAATTCATCATTTTATGAAAATTTTTTCCTGGACAGCGGCTTTTCTGAAATGGGGTTTAATGTTCTCATTTTCTAGACCAACCCATCTAATAAAAACATAGCTATGCCATGCTATGTAGGAAATGGCCGGGGGGGGGGAGGGGGCAAGATTTCCCCAATGGACAAAGGCACCATTCAGTGTGCCGATTGTTTCCAGGGGAAGCAGCTGTCCCTCTTTCCCCCCCCCCCCTCCATATGACGAAGAGCTTTTTCCCGGCCGGCCCTCTACGTCCTTGAATGTCAATGGTATAATAGAAATCATTTTTCACGTAGACTGTTAATAAATCTATTTATGGTTGTGGTTTATAAAAAAAATATTGATGTTTATTTATTAACCAAATTAAAGACAATCTTCATAAAATGATTTTTTCAAAAAAGTAGTCTTAAGAAAATAGATTTTACAAAAAAATAAAGTGTCAAAAATAGCTAAGATGTCAACATCACTTACAAAATTTATCTGTGATTTATCTAGTAAAAAAAAAGGAGGCAAACATTGTGAATTATAGATTTCCAATAAACTCCCCAGAACGAAATGTAATTTATAATTATCTGTAATATATTCAAATTAAAGAAAAACAATTGATCCGTAACATTTCGAAGACTGTTAAAAAAACGAGAGAGACAAAAAATGTTGTGAATCACTGATTTCCAATAAACTCTCCAAACTAACTGTAAGTAATAGCCTTTATATTAAGTTAGGAGAGAAAGGTGTCATGTGATACTATGGTTGGTACCCTGACTGTGTTCAGACCAATTTCTGTTATCTTGTCACCGTGCCAACATCATGTCCTATCTAACATCAAACAGTTGAAGACGAGTGGAGTGAGCTCGAGAAAGGTGATTTTAAAACCAGATGCTGAGTACAACAATTTATAACACATCGTTAGTCCAATAGTTTTCTTTCCTTTCTTCAAACCAAGTCATCAACTTTTATTCTCTGATGCGCAAAGAGATATTTACATTCATCTCGAATCCTCGACTATTTGTTGATAGTTTTCATCGACTTTTATGTATGAAATGAAGATAATCAAAAAATTCCTGTACATAAAATCATTTTATTTTTTTTGTTTGGCCCTAAATGAATGTGATATTATTTAATAGAATTTAGAAAAAGACAAAAAATACATATAATGATAACTTAAAGGAGCTAAATCCCTAATATTTGGGACCAAGAAATTGACCCAAATGAGTCGCAACGTATATAATAATGTAATCTGATTGTATATAAACTGATTTAGATTCAATTGTTTCCATTTGGACTCTAATTTCTAATCAGTTATGTCCCAGTGAAATGTGTCAGGAGTCTCAACTGAATAGCAATTTCTAGCGTCTGGTTATTCCAGTCTATTGCGCATGCTCTCCAGATAAGATATGGCGTCACCGTTTGACATGAGTTGTGGAATATGTCTAGCCTCGTTCTTTCTGGTCACTTATTACAAATGACGCTGAAATTTGTGTACAAATGGTAAAATGTTTATTTTGTCTTAAATATTGGATCAGAAGCCTACCTTTTCCTGGTAAGATCAATACATCAATGTTGATTTGAATTGACAAATAATTCGTATTTTCAACATGTAAGACTTTGGATGATATTGAGTTAGAAACTTAGCTACTTTAATTAATATGGAATTGGGAGGCAATTTGGTATAGGTGTGGGGAGGAGTATGCATGCTCCTATACACTTGAACATCTTGAACAGGCTATACGATACTTTCACTTTAAATTATATTTTTCTCAATAACATTTAAAAACTTTAAAAAAAACCCCAATAAACTGAATGAATTTTCATTGACTGAAATCTGATGCCTGAGAGCTCGTCTTAAAAGAGTTGGAATAAATAAAGACCAAATGGCTGTGATATAATGTGTAAACGATCGTGATACAAGAACAGAAGTCATTTTATATGTTACATTATCTACGCACAGGGATACACAGGACAAGAGTCTTATCTAATCCCCAGCTGCTTCTCATTACATCATAGGGTAGCGTGTCGCTTGTCAAGAAACAAGTTTCAAATTTCATCATAAACTACCAGGAATACAGAGCCAGCATTCAACAGTCGAGTTGGTTACACCCTCTATTCCTGTGTCTCTTGTCCTATAGGGCTATCAAATTTATTTGCCAAACAGAAGTCTGTCTGTTACTTTTGGCTTCTGGAAGTTTGACCTTTGAGATAACCTTCATCCCTCGTTACTGAGCAGTTCAACAGAGGACCGTCTCTTTTCTCCACGTTATCGCGCCAGAAACACTCTGCCTGTTCTGTGACAGTCTGCGCTGTTTTTAAGCTCGACAAAGAGCACTTGACTGTCTTAAACATAAGTAATTCGTTATCAGTAAAAATAAACACATATTTTAATAACGACTTTTATTTCCCCCACGCCAATTTTTAAGACCTAGTTTTAGTGGTTTGAAGATAAACACAGAAATCTGTCCAATCATTTTGGACTTCGTGTTCTTTCAATTATAAATATAATTAAATTGAAAATGGGTTTTTAAATAAATTTCATTTAACTTTTGAATTCTGGCACAGAGTTTTCACGTCATGATATGGCTACTTATTTTGCCCTTTTTTAAAAGCATCTGGAGACATTTTTGTAAATAAAATTAAAATCACAAGTTGGAACAATTCTATAAATGGCTTAATGTACAAAATCAGACGTCTCATGACTTGACTGTAGTAAAGATGGGCAAACGCTGTGAGTGGTCATTCCCCTTGACTTACTCCATACAGCTAAATTTATTTTATGCTGGAAGTCCTGTGACAACATAATTGTTTCATAAATCTATTTTAAATTTTTAATAACTTTCATTTTCCATTTAATTTCAACACTTATGAGTGGGCATTCCCCTTGACCTACTCCACAGAGCTAAATTTATTTTATGCTGGAAGTCCTGTGACAACATAATTGTTTACTAGACCTATATTCAATTTTCCATAACTTTCATTTTCCATTTAATTTTTGAACATAATAATTAATTTCACTTATTTTGTGTCTTTTCAGGATAGTTCTGGACGAGTGCTAGATAAATGGGTGTTGGCCTCAAAAGAAGAAGAAAATATCATCATTCAACAGTTCCTACGATTCGGCGAAACAAAAGCCATAGCTCAGGAGATTCTCCTGCAAGGAACGAAAGAGACACAAGATTTGTACATAAAACAAACCACAAGGGCTGATTCCGAAATTAAAAAATTTATGGAACGAAGCAATATGACAATGCACAACTATATGAGGAGTATTGAAACACGGCAACTTTTTCCTGGACGTTTTCCTTTTAACATCCCACCAGTAGCACGGCTCATGACTCCTCCTGGACTACCATCGAGCTTCTCACCATCGGGAGATATACGACCATTAGTTCTACCATCTACCTCTACACCAATCACAACATCACCGTTAAATCGATTACAGACTATGCAACCATTTGAATATCATCGAGAACACGGAAGTCCCAACCCAAGTCCTAACCCACTTGAGAAACCTGTCACAGTCACTGTCACGTCTCCTTGTGCGAGTCCTAAAAATCTGAGCACCACCTCCACATCAGTTAACTCTTCGCCTTCTCCAGTATCAAATCACAAGTTTTCAGAAAGTGATGGAGAGAACATTATCATATCAAGTCTGTCAACGAAAGAAGAACCGACACAGAATGCGATTGATTACTCCACTAAGGACGACTCGTATATGTCTGACCTTGAGAGAAAAGCTAAGCACATGAGAAAGTCATCTAATCCTATAAAGCGCCAGTGGCAGCCATCAGCTGGTTTTGGGAGCACCTTCATGGGTCCAAATGGTAAAAAGAGAACGCTGTGTTCAGCATGCAACAAGACATTCTGTGATAAAGGGGCCCTTAAAATTCACTACAGCGCAGTTCACCTGAAAGAAATGCACAAATGCACAGTGGACGGATGTAATATGATGTTCAGCTCGCGCCGAAGTCGAAATCGCCACAGTGCTAATCCAAACCCCAAACTACACATGCCTCAGAAACGTAAGGAAGATTCACCAAGAATGGATGACAGTAACGGAATGAGTGACAATCCACCAACAATGGTTCTTCCACACATGATCCCGAGAAATCCAATGTCCTCCATGGACTCTCCTGGGATGATTCAACCCGACCCCAGATACTTCCTGGATCTGAATAATCAGCTCCCTTACTTCCCCAGCCCGGAAAAGTGGTCAAAGTTGGAACTCTCTGAATCTGAAGATGAACCCAAGGATCTCAGTAATCACAGTAACCATGGTGATAATCATGACAGGAATCGGTATAATGATGCTAATGATGGTGATGCTGAAGATGGGAGATCAGAAATGATGCTGCATAAAGGAGGAAGCAGACGGAAGAATAATGCGCCAACTCGCTGCACACAGTCTGATGACATGTATGTCATGAGTGACGATAATTCTGATGACAAGGATCCAAATGAGAGGAGTCACCAGGTCAGAAGTCGATCTGGAACATTCGAGGGCAGAAGTTCCGATGAATATCAACTAGAAAAACGTTTCAAGACTGAACCGAAAAGTGGATTAGACAATTCAGATGATATGGACATGGGAAATGAGTCGGATGATGAAAAACCTGTCACTCCAGCCAAGAAAAACGGAAAAAGTGACGCCTGTAATTTTCCCAAAATAGCATCCCTTTTAACCAACAGTCTTCCAGTAAGATGCTGTCCTCCAATTACAGGATCTTTCTCATCTCCTAGTGAAGAATGTCCCAGTCCTGCTCAACATGATTCCGATCAAGAATCCAATGATTCGGCTGATTCGTTGTCACCGAAAGAAAATGGAGATTATTTGGATTTATCAGCCAGCGAAATCCCCATTGATAAAGAGAATCCCAAAAAGTGTGTCGCCTGCGGTAAAAGTTTTGGAAATGCCTTTGGTGTCAAAATTCATTACCAGAATGTTCACCTGAAATTGATGCATCCTTGTTCTATTGACGGCTGCAATGCCAGGTTTCCTTCCAAAAGAAGCAGGAATCGTCACGCCAGTAACTTGAATTTACATCGAAAACTCCTCTCTACAGAGGGCGATTTATCAGACAAGAACAACGAAGGCTCTGTGCAGGATTTGCGTGAGGATATCATCAAGCAACTGTATGGTCCCCAGCATTTGATTGGGTACGGAAAACCAGAGAGTAATCGAACTAATGGTCGTAAAAGTCCAACTTCTGATGGACGAAGCAATCACAGCAAAGAGGAAGAAGATGAATATGAAGGAGAAGCCGATACTGATGACAAAATGGACACAAGCGCAACAGAAAAGGAATCCCCGGAGGTCAATGGTAACGATACGTTAGACTGCCACATCTGCGACATAAAGTTTGAGGATAGCCTTGCGCTACAGGAACATTTTGAAACGAGTCACCCGAAAGAAACCATACAAAACGGCCGAGATAAAATATTCACGACAACGAGAAAAAGTAGAAGCAGACATCGTATAAACGGGAATCTCCATAGTAACATGGTCAGTGGCATCTCCTGATAAATTCATATGGGGACGAAGCTGTCGCTTTTCACGTGATGCTTCTTCTATACAATGAAATCACAAAGAGCCTTGATCTGATTGGTAGAAACTTTAGACTGTTAAAAACGTAGATGTTACGAATCATAGAAATGTTAGTTCAACAATTCCACGACATATTTTTTAGTATTACATTTTTTTTCTTTCCAGTTTTCCAGTCATTAGAACACTTGTGCCAAATAACGGACCAATTTTTTGTAGCGGGATTTTCATTAATATGAACATCTTGAATGTGCTTTCATCCGAGGATTATTTCATACAGAAGTTAAACATTACAACAATTTTAAAAAGTGTATTATAATCCAGTGTAGAAAAAACTATGCAGTTAAATTTGTTGAAACGTTGTTTTTTTTTAAACGGACATCAGTTATTAGTTTACGAATGAACATTGCAGCATTATTACTCATTTATTGATCGCTGATGATTAATTGGTGTTTTGAAAAGGAGAAGATAACTCTAAAGGGTGTGACATGTGAAACCATGGTGATGTCATGGTGATGGCCTTTGCCCTGTCAAGTGTATTAAGCAATAATTATACATAATTTATATAATATATAAACATAGTAATAAATTAGTTGTAAATAGCCACGTTAGACATTAGAAATATAGCCACACAATTCACAATCTGACTAAAATACAGATCTATATTTCGTTTCGTTTTTTTATACTTTCAATGGCCTACACTACATGAAGATCTGACAAGTTGTACTAAAAGGTCATGTCAAGAAGTCGCCGTAACAGACCGTTTCATTGGCTTATCCTTCATTTCAACCAAAACGCCAGTAATATAACAACTCTTCCAGATCCTAGCATTGTAAAGACAAGTAAAACGAAATTTTGAACTATAAAAACAAACGAAATAGGATCTGTGTTATAATCAGATTGCACAGTTCATAATTAGACATTTTTACACACACACACATAAAAACACAGAATTTGAAAAAAATTAATCATGTAATGTAATTGAATATTATGCAATTAGCAATTATTTTACATAGCGTTTAAGTTGTTTTTTGGTTTATTAAGTGTGTGTATGATTGTTGATTTTTCATGAAATGCAATTTGATTGAATAACATTTGTTTTCTTTTCAAATTATCCAACAAATGACGCTTTTTGATTAGCGAGGTTTTCGGGACAAGCGTGCAATTTAATTACAAAAATATTGTAACACACGACACTGTTGTTATTTTTGAAAATCTTTCTTTTAAAGGTGATAATTGAGTTACGATACCAGTATTAAAAGCCAATTTTTTTTCGTTTTAATCATTATTTTTTTTTTTGCAATCAATTTTTAATAATTATGCAATCTAGTCAATATATGTAATTTTTCAATATTAGAAAGCAATATTCATATCTTTTTAATTACATTTATATTATGCAATATGCAATTAGTTGTTTTATTGGTGTATAATTTGTTTCATATTTCACCTATATGCAATTAGTAATGATATTTCAAATAAACACAACATCACATCAACCTGTATCAATTATCACTGCTCTTGTTTGATATGGGTCTCACCTGGGCTCCAGTGTCAGTTATATTTACTGGACTTGACTGACTGACAGTTAATTTTGACCAGCTAGAGAATTTACCTGTCAGTCAATATAAATGCCATAAAATTAGGATTTTAAATAATTTTACCCTAAAACACTATGAATACGGTCAAATGGTTTGTTTTTATGTGCAAAAACACTTGAAAATATATATAAAGATTTAGGATAATGATAAAAAAAAAATTTTATATTTAGAACAAAAAACATATTTTGCACATTCAGGCAAAAAAAAATGTCCAAAATTTGGAGTGAATGCCTTGGTTCTGACTGTAATTTCAAAATGTGAAATGTGTTTTCCCCGAGGAAAGAATGACAATGTGAATGAGAGCAGTGTTAATTCTGTGGGAATGATATGTCTGTGAAACTTAGAAAATATTTTATTCTGTTATAGATGCTAAGCTTTTACAATAATACTATATAAAATCAAATCATATGATTAGGTTTTAAAGATCATGGGGTTCGTATGACTTCCACGTTCACATATCTACGCAGATTACTTCACATGAACAAAGAAGGTGCTATTATCGGTGTTCATTCATTATTTTACTTTTAATCTTTTTATCACCATTTTCTTCTGTATTCAGTAAAGAAGACTCAAGTATATAGAGACAAGCTCGTAATAAAACAATTTTTTTGTAATTGTATTAAATACTCAGGTTTGAATCACCATGGGTAACCCAGATGTTTATCACCACTGATTATACGGGCACCCGGGATAATGGGCACGCAGCTCGACAGGCTAATCAAGTTGTATGATTCTAGTCGATTCCACTTGGTAATCATGGGCGCGCAATAATATCTACAGTTGTTTTCTGTGTCATTATGGAACAGATAGTACTGGAAGATCAAGTAGTATGACTGTTCTAACAACACACATCAGTTGATGCCACTTGTTAATCATATCTACAGTAGTTTCCATGTCATTATGGAACAGATATTACTGGAAGATATTTCTAACAACAAATCCTGATTCCACCTGGCAGTCATGGGTGCGTGAATGGATTCTGTGTTGTTACCAAACAGATATTACTGGAAGACCAAGATGGTTTATTTTGAGCTATCTGATTGGATGTTCTGCAAAATGATATGAGCCCATAACAAATGAATGTTAATGCAGTGTGGTGAAAAGCATTTTGGCTCCTCATTGGGGGTTAAGGATTGGCTGATTTGTTGTTTTAGACAGCCAATGAAAATATCTCATTTTTAAGTGCAATGAATACACAAGCCATGTTCAATAAGTTTTACACTCTAAATTTTGAAACAACAGAAGTGGTTGTCATAGCAACCGAGTTTACTCACCTTTTCTTGTTTTTCAAATTAAAGATCACTGTGTCTTATTGAACAGGAGCTTTTAGCTGTAATATTACCTCATAAGCTTCATAATATCTCCATCACTCCGTTATATATTATGGCCATTAAGGGTTTATGTTATATTTGGAATGCCTACTTTCTGTTACACGAGGACCTAGATAACATAGGGATCAGAATGGAATGCCTACTTTCTGTTACACGAGGACCTAGATAACACAGGGACCAGTATGGATCCTTATTTAATTAAACCCCAAATTTTAGGGCCCTCAGTGTCACAGAAAAAGGTAAACCTCTTTGATTCAGGTAAAAAAATAAAATGTTGAATTCTGTTTAGTGATTAGTTATGGCACAAAATTAAATTCAATTATTAAAGATGCATTATGTAAGATTTAGATAAAGAGTTGGTCATTCTTGCAATAACAGTTCAAAAATAGATTATGAAAAATGAATATATTGAAAATTTCAGTCAACTTACTCGATTCTGTGTGAAATTATGAGTTTTTGAAGCTTTGTGGCATAGATTGTTTAATATCGTAGCTATGATACTTGACAATCTTAATATTTTAAAATCTTAATATCCAGGGCCCTTATTCACAGAAACTTAAACTAAGATACAATCGAAATTTTAAGATATACTGCAATTCGATTGGCTGACCAGTAAAATCAATTTGCATATATTCAATTTGCATATTGGTCAGCCAATCGAATTGCAGTATTTCTTAAAATTTCGATTGTATCTTAGTTTAAGTTTTCGTGAATAAGGGCCCTGTAGACATGTGTTCACTAACTTGAGTTTTGTTTTTGGCTTACATTGTCGACAGCTGAACAGGAAATCACAACACTGGCCCTTTCTTAGGACTTAAAATTTAAATATTTGCCGACATCTACATCACAAAGGAAATCAACATATCAAACCCTTTTTTTATTTTTTACCCAAATCAAAGAGATCTAGTTATTCTAATTATTGACATAAAATTGACATCATATAATTCTGATTGATTCACTCATAGACTGTAGACAAATCAAATTAAAAACTGAATTAACACGTTATTGTGTAAAGTTTGTGAAAACTGTGTTTTTTTTAAATGAAATTGACTGATATATCATGTTTTATCATATCATTATTTATCATAGTATGGAATAGTATAAGACTTAATATTCTAGATATGCAAATACAGTGAAACCTCTCTATAAGGGACACCCATAACCTTTTTGAATGGTCTCTCAATCCATCTATTTTCAAATCCACAAATTGTCCAGTTAGTAAAAAACATAACTAATTTCATGAAGATTATTTGAAATGAATGCCCTGTTTAGAGAGGTTTTACTGTATATGTCAATTAGTGATTAATTGGTTTAGTATAATAATAATCAGTATTTGATTTCAGAGCTCAAATCAAAAGGTGTTGTATTTTTTAGATCGTTTTATTTATTTGAATTTAATGTATAAAGTTACTGATTATGTATACCGTAGATTATCTGTGTGTGTTTTTATCAAGCATGTCTGTATTTTAGAAGTTTTGTATCATTGTATCTGAAACCATTATGTCTGTGTTCACTCTAAAAACTGCAAATAATATCTTACCAAATACTACAGTTGCACATTTTTAAATACTGGTACTACAATTGCCCATTACTAGATACTGTAATTGCCCATCAGTAAGGACTGCAGTTCCCCATCAGTAAGGACTGAAGTTCCCTACCAGTAAGGACAGCAGTTCCACCATCAGTAAGGACTGCAGCTCCCCACCAGTAAGGACTGCAGTTCTTCATCAGTAAGGACTTCCGTTCTCCATCAGTAAGGACTGCAGTTCTCCACCAGTAGATATCTTCTGCTTAGTACTGCAATTCCCTTCCACAACAATAAAAAAAGAAATGATGTGCCAAATGAAATAGAAAAGGGCTGTAGTTGCCCTTCGGAGAAGGATACAATTATATAAATGATTTAAGGATAGGATCAATTGTTGTTGATCAATTTGTTCTCATCGTTTTGTGTGTTTATAATTTTATAAAACTAAATGGCAATTAATAAAAAATGCAAATTAAAACTTTATAAAGTTTATGTTACTGTTTTATGAGCTGTTAACAATTAAAGGATAAAGTCAGCTTGCTATTGAAATATGAAAACTTGAGATCCAATGTGTATCATATGTAAGGTATATCGTTACTTGTATTATATTATTTTGCGATATTATAATAATATCGCTGATCACTAAATTTGATGCAATTTCTAAGAGAAAATGATCTTGTAGCCTTAGACATTTAGATGCATAATAATTATAGTCTTTTTCACCATGCAAATCACTTTGCAAACTCTGCTTCCACCCTGTGCCTGAGGCCTTATTCTTAGAAGATTTGTTTTTATTGGTGCATGATATCAAGTATCACTTTAATAACATACTCAAATCTAATACTTTTGTCTTTTTATTGTAAATTTTTTGAAAATCTTTTTTTAAGAATAAGGCCGAAGTAGTGTAAATTTTCTTGTAAAAAGTGTAAAAATGTAGTATTTGAACTAGTTATGTCTTTCTATGTTATAATATTTTACACAGCAATGAGTAGTCAGTTTGTTCAGACTGTTTGAAGGGGTGTACATACATGTGATTGACAATTCGTACATTTTCTTTCGATCTTTTTAACGAATCGTACAGTTAAACCGCGACATAGGCCTGAGATTACCAACAATCCATCAATACTAACACAAAGTTTGAATCTAAAGTCAAAGCAATGTAATTTTTAGTTTGTAGTTCTTCAGGCTTTTGATCAATAAATAGCCTGGCAAGTCTTGTGATCAATAAATAGCCTGGCGAGTCACGTGATCAATAAATAGCCTGGTGAGTCTTGTGATCAATAAATAGCCTGGTGAGTCTCGTGATCAAAATTTTAATACATTTTCACAAAGAAGAAAAATTCAAATTGGTATGATCTAAACTACTAGAAGCGGTATCAGCTGTTCTATTGACAGAAATATTTCAATTTTATTTTAAGTCAACACATGTATTGGTAATTCTGAAACCTCAATAAAAACGGAGGAGTCATATGCACGAAAACTTAAACTAAGGTATATTAAGAATGCTGCCTTTTCATTGGCTTACAACTAAAGATTTAACTAGAATTTTAACTGTCAATCAATGAAAAGACTGAATTCTTAGAATATGTTAGTTGAAGGTTTCGTGATTAAGTTGTGCAGTCGATACGAGTTGCTGATGATTGCTTTCCATTGAAGAACACGAAGATGAGTTTACAATTTTTTTTATATGTTTTAAATATAAGCAATCTTGATAGATAGCAATAATAACAAAACTAGATATAAAAAAAATATTAAAAAAAACAAAAAAATAACATTGTCATTATACTACATATTATAGAATC